GCCGGAAGTAAAAGAGAAAGTGTGTCCCCTGGCCCTTTGCATCCAAGGCTGGTGCAGGGGGAGGGGGAGGGGCAGGAGCGATGAGTTGGCCACCGGAGTGGCAGGGCACGGAGGGTGGTGGTGAGGTAAGGGCTGTGGATGACAGAAGGAAGTGGGTAGGACCAGGAAATAAACATGCTGAAACCACCCGGGAGGATCGTCAAAATATTCCTGGCATTGATTAACATTTTAAAAATAGTAATAATTACATTTTTAAATTCTCTGGACCACTCATTTGCCCGGCCATTTAGTCATCCCAATAACCCTGAAAAGTGGTCATCATGATTCTCGTTTGATGGAGAAGGAAATCGAAGCTCAGAGAGCTAAGGGGACTCGCTCGAGGACCCTCGGCTAAGAAGTGACAAAATCCAAAATGCGTCACAGGTCTGCCTGGCGCGCAGCCCTCCCCGTCACTGTGCCCTCCACTCCTGCGTCATTTTGCAGTTGTCTTGGTTCCTCCGACTGTGGCCGAGTAATTTGGGGGCCACGTAATAATCGTAACTGTTCTGCTAGATGTAAAATATTCCAAAGATACAGAATTTAGGAAAAAGATGCTGGTCATCCTGCCCCCGGCCGGATGCAGTAGTAACACCTGCTCCATGATCCGGGCACCCAGGAGCTGTGTATCCCCTGCCTAACTGCTCCCAAGTCCACTTCCGGAGCCTGCATAGGTCTCTTTCCAGGTCCTATCTCTCGAGGGACCCTGGGGCCGGGGGGTGAACAAGGGTCTGCTTTTGGACGTGAAGTAGTGGGCAGAGCAAATGCGGGCCAGGCTGTCCCCACAGCTGCCCAGAGGCTGGATCAGGACAGGAAGGGAAGGGGCCGTCAGGCACTGGTCAGGGGCCTCCTTTTGCTCCCTTTCTCTGGGCCCTGCAATGTTGGGGACAGGCCCAAATGGGGGTACAATTATTTTTTGAATATAAGATTCATATAATCCAGAGAAGAAATTAATTGTTCAAAGAGTGGAAAATGGCATCGTTTCTTGCGGGTACAAGTGAGACCGTGGGAAGAGTGGAGAAGAGCAGCGTCCCGGCTGGAGTACCGGCCCACCGTCTGTGTTGTCCCGATGCTCAGTCCCCTTAGCTTTGGTCTGGCCAAGCGGGAGATGCCGGGAAGGGCAAGAAGACAGGAAAGGACGGCAGGAGCTTGGGGAGCGGGAGGAGAGTTTGCAGGCGGAGCTGGGCGTAGAGAGCCAGGCATGAAGTGGACAGAGGGGTTCTGGGAGAGGAGCAGAGGTAGTTAAATGGAATTTCCAGAAGCCTCCAAAGTCCTGGGCAATGGGAAGGTCGTCCCTCATCTCTGTAGGAAACCAGCACTAAAGCCGGTTATCAAGGCTTCTATTTCTGGCAGTTTGGTGGACCGGATCCCGTATACTCTTTATATGTGTATTTCATAATACAGAGAATTAAAAACAAAATCCACACATTTGGCGATACTTCAAGATTGGGATTGGGATTTGGGGGAAGATGGTCAGGCTATGCTGAGACCAGCCTCCGTTTAGGAGCCGGGCAGCCGAGGGGCCTGTCCCTCTGGGTTACAGGTCCACGTGCTTTTCTTCCTCCCTCTCCCTCCCTCCCTCCCTTCCTTTTTTCTATCTATCTATCTATCTATCTATCTATCTATCTATCTATCTATCTATCATCTATCTATCATCTACTCACGTTTCCTGCACAGTGGATTATACTATTCTACAACCTAGTTTTTAAATTCGATGCTGTCTCTTAGACAGCTGTCAGACCATGGTCATCTGTCACATCCAAAGGCTGCAGATGTTAGGAGGCATATTCTTTATCTCTTTTAATTTTTTAAAAATTTCCTCTTATTAGTTTCAAGTATACAGTACATTATTTGGACGTTTATATAGTTTATAAAACGATCTTTCCTCTGGCTCTCTGCCTCGCCCTTACATTAATGCTAACTGCATTCCCTATGCCTTGCTCCCCATCCCTGTGACCATCTATAAACTATTCTTGAAAGCTGACGAGATCGCATGTCTATGGGTGGCTTCTGCCACTGAATGGCCCGCCATCATCCATTCAAGTTTTTAAAAGTGCATTTATTAGATTCTTAAGATAGCCTTCCATCGGTCGCCCCTTACCACGGAGGCCTGGTTCTTCCTCTGCCTCCCTGGGGGGCTCCTGACCCAAGCCCCCGCCACACAGCGGGGCTCACGCATAGGCAAAGAGTGAGTGAATGGCAGAATGTTAATTCGTGGTGGCAGCGGGGAGGGTGTGGGGGACTCGCCCACAGCATGATTTGGTCCAGGGCTGCTCTTGCCCCAATCCACTCTTGAAAGAAATTCTCCATTCATGAAACAATGAAGAAAGAGATGAGCAATTAAATGCCTGAGTCCAGAGTAATGATGATTAAGGAATGTTGGGAAAGGGAGTTATTACAAGGCCCTGAAAGCATTTGGAAGCTCTCAGAGCTGGGACAGCGGTTTGGGCGGGTGGGGCCTGTTATCAGAGATGCCAGGCCCGTCATTCCTGCCCCGTTAGGTCACCGTGAGCCAGTTGGGAGCAAAGCTGGGTGTCATTGTTTGCACCTTACCTTAGCTCACCCCTTTTTGAGAAGCAATGATGGCTGGATCTGGGGAAGTTCTCAGAGTGGGAGAATGTGATCTGTCAAATGGGATAAAAGTTATGAGACCTGAAGCTATGGAGGAGATTAGATGAGAACCTGCCAGCACGGTACGTGCTACAGGACCTGGCACAGGGTCAACCCTCGCTAAATGCAGAAGGACGTCATCAGGGAAACTCATTTTCCTCCAGAATGTCCACTCCCTGACGCAGGGAGGCCGTGTCTGTCCCTGCGGTATCCCCAGAGACTGGAGCAGCGCCTGGTGCACAACTGGCACTCGACGCACACTGGTCCGGGGCATGAGCGGACCCGTGACGTAACCGTCACCTGGTAACAGACCCGGGGAGGCAGCTCCGGGGCCCAGCGCCTGGTTCTCACCATTCGGTGCTGCAATCCGCCCTTTCCCAGGCCTGCCCCACGCAGCCCTGACAGGCAGTGTGACCACACAGGGAAGATGACTCGCTGGGTACTTCTCTAAATGCTCCCCAAGGCCAGCGGAATCCCCAAGGCCTGGCTCATCGGGACGAGCAGATGACATGGGACCCAGCGTGGCTCCCCTTCCTGTTAGCAGAGCGCTGGTCAGCAGCCGGTTGGCCCCTGAGGTTCTGTTTGGGGAAAGGAACAGAACGGTTGGCCCCAGGAGGAGGGACATGCCCAGCCTCCCTGTAGCAGGAAATGTGCGCTGGCCTGTCCCACACCACAGCCTCTCCTGTCTGAAGATCGCTTCTCTCCCATCTCTGCCCCTGAGCCTGCTCTCAGCCGGGGAGGGGATGGGGCTCTGCAGTGAGTCTCAGCAATGTCGACGAACCGCGAGGGGTCAAGTTTGTGGACCACTCGACAGTAATAGTGACCAACTTTCTTTTTTTATTATTGAGCACTTACTCTGTGCCAGCTCCCGTGCTAAAGGGAAAGTTTCCATTTCACTTCTTCTAAAGAGGCACCCAAGTGTTCCCCAAACATTCTGTCCTTAGATGTGGCCGGGCCTTCGCATAGGCTGTTCCTCAATTTAAAATGCCCTTCCTGGGACATGGTTCCATAGTGTAGCGGTTAGCATGTCTGCTTTACACACAGAAGGTCCTGGGTTCGTGCCCCAGTGGAGCCACGGTCCACGGTCTACAGCCATGCCACCCTGAACGAGCCCAATGTCTGATCTCGAAAGCTAAGCAGGGTCGGGCCTGGTTAGTACTTGGATGGGAGACCACCTAGAAAGACCAGGGGCTGTAGGCATAAATAATAATAAATAAAAAAATAAATAAAATGCCCTTCCTGGCTTTATTCACCTGATGCATGCTCACCCTTCAGAACCCGGCCACTGTGTCACCGCCTCTTGCCCAAGACAGGAAAGTCACAGCCTTCCATGGGCCTCCACAGCCGTCGTCTGCTGCTGAGCTGTGGGCCCTCTGAAGACCCAGCCTGTGCCACTTCGACCTGCTTGTCCTACATGTCCACCTCCACGCCTGGCACATGGTACGGGCACCGTAAATGTTGGGTTCTGCCTCCCAAACCCTTGGCCCCGTGGCACTTTATCTCTTGTACGCCCCTCATCTCTTTTCTTCATATAACATTTGTCTTTATTCCAAGAATGCTGCTCATCACGTAATAGATATTTATAAATGTAAATTGAATTATACAAATGAATCAATGGCCTTACTTGCAGGGTACCAGATAGGAGGCGTTCAATTATTTGCCTGGAGAATCCACAGTTACTCCCAGCAAGAAATCATCAAGTAGGCAGGGAAGGATGAAATTAAAAGAAGGAACAGAACGGGAGAAGGTGCTGGAACTAACATTTTCTGAGCGCCTATATGTGTCGGGCATATGTTTCATTAACTCCCCACCATAATCCAGGGAGGTAAATAAATATTATGATTCCGTTTTTTATAGACAAAAAATGGCGGCACAGAGAGGTGGGGCGACTTGTCTAAGATCACACAGCAAGCAAGTGGCAGAGCGGGGATTTGGGCCCCATCTGCCTAGTTCCATCAGTCGGATGGAGAAAGCCACCGTGTCCCTGTAGTGTGAGAGCATGGGGAAAAGTGAGGACGGGCTGCAGGACCCTGGGATCAGACCCAGACCCCTGGGTACGCGTCGTCCCTGCCTTCCAGATGTCCCATGTCTCGGTTCCTGGGAACAGATGTCTGCTGGCCTGTGGACCTACCCCGAATACCTCCAACACATTTAACCACTTTCTCTCAAAACAGCTCTGCTTTTCGAGCAGCTTCTTTCCTTTTCCTAATGTTGACCCTAAACACTTCCCTCTGAGTCCCTGGACCAGCTTGACACCCTGAGATTGCGCAACCCACACTTGAAGGCTCCAGGAACCCGCAACTTCTCAATAATGCTGAACTGGGTGAGATTTCCCAGTAACCACCTCCCCCGCCTGACTAACGCTTTCTTAGCTGGGCAATGCAAAGTCCTATTTTTAAGGAACCCAGTCATTTCGTTTAGATTCTTTGTTTTATTTTAATGACCTTCTGAGTCATTCATTTTTCTACTTTTGGACTGATTCACTCTCGGCCATTTCCTTACAGAAAAATCCAAGCCCTCCTTTAAGACTCAACACCAGCAACCATCTTCTCCTGAAAATTATCCTCATCCACACCACCCCCTCTCCAGGAAGAGGTATTCCCCTCCCCACTCTGCACCATTCATTGGGTAATTATTCTATTGCCATCATCGTTATCAGAACAATAAAAATGACAGGCCAGCCTCTTGAGTTGTTTCTTATATTTCTCATGACCCCGGGGGGAAAAAATTAATGATCATTTCCATTTTACAGATAGTGAAACTGAGCCTCAAGGAGCTTAATTGAAACTTCTTGCTCAAGGTCACATGACGTACGTGAAGAAGCCGGGACGCTAAGCCAGACTGGCCAAACTCCAGAGTGAGAGTCTTGGAAGGTGACTCTTCGTGTGGCGCTGCCTGGCTCTTGCTGTGATAATCGTGTTGATGTTCATCACCCTTCCCCCTCAGACCGTAAGCTTCAAGAAGTGTTTGTTCCCTACTGCACTGTACTCAGTAAACATCTGCACCGAACAGCTGATGCCCCACAGGTTGGACGACGGCTAGAGAACTTCCGGTCCCTTTACAGCGTTAGCTGCTCGAAGCTTTACACAATTTTTCATTCTTACAACATCAAGAGCAAAAACAATGTACGTTGAATGAAGGAAGTAAGGGATGGGAATGGGCTTGGCAGGTTCCAGTGGACATATTTCCTAGCTGAACATCTTCAATAGAAAATTAATTTTTCTCTGTAGCTCAGGACCGATGCTGCCAGACAAGAACTTCTCATCATGTTGTTTCTGGGTTGAACTAACAAAATCTTACAGCCTAAGGGTTCAGTTTAAGTTCACTCAACACACCTCTGCTGGGTATCTGCTGTGAGCCAGGCCCTGACTCACAGGCCAGCGCCGAAGATGGCTGTGCCAGCGGCTCACCAGGCGGAGGTCCTTTGGCTGCTCATCTTCTCTCCACTCCTTCTGGGAGACAAGCTCCCTACTTCCCTGACAGCGGGCAAGCGGGGGTGGCCTGGGGAACAGGGGAAAGGAGGGGCGACGCCTTGTCTCGTCAGAGAGGGCCGAGCAGGAAAGATCTCTACGGTCCAGCAGCCTCCAAGAAGTGACTGCGAGCAGCAGAGAGGAGGCCGGGAGGAGCCAGCTCGTCCCTCATGGAATGCAAAGGCAGCTGTTTGGGCCACGAAATGACAATAGAAGAATTAGATGCGTGGAAAAGGTCTGGGAAGGCTAATAAAAACAGGAAGCCCATTGGGGGTGGCACCTGGAGGCGGGAATGAAGGGTTCCCTTATCACTCAATCGAATGCTTTTTACCTCAGACTCTCTCTTGTGTTATGAATGTTGCTAGCCCTGCGTTGTTTTTATGTGTCTTTTCCCAATAATCCTGTACCTAGCCTTTCGCTTATAACCTCACGGGGATACTTCGTTCAGGTGCGTCTTCTGTTATCAGCATCTCATTGGCCTTTTGGTTTGGGGATTTGGGGCCCAATCTGCAAGCTTTGCCTTTTGGTAGGAGCATTCTATGTGGGAAGCAGTGAGGCCCGGTGGTTAAAACGGGCCTCTGGTGCTAGGCTGCCTGGGCCACAGAGTCTGCAGACGCCCTGCCACTCTTTACCTGAGCATTCGGTGCACATCTAGCACCTTCTCTCCCGTTCCCAGCCCAAAGATAAGGTAGAGCAGAGCATCCCCACTTGACAGATGGAGAAACTGAGGCCCAGAGACATGAAGTCAGTAGCCCAAGGGCAGAGAGAAGGAACGTTTCATTGGCGTGCCCAGGGAACCACACATTGGGGTAGACCAGTTGCCCCTCTTTAACTCAAGTGCCCCTCAGCTCTCAGATTTGGCTAGGAGGGCAGGGAGACCCGACCCGCTTCTTCTCACGGTCAAGGATGAGACTCAGACCTGACGATAGCAAAGCCAGAATATAGCAGTAATAATGCTAGCTGCGAACACATTCGGAATTCACTGAGTGCCCAGCATCACACCACGCGCATCACGTGTCATCTTCCCTTTTCCTGGCATAATGAGTACGAGCGTGGACGCTGACACCAGGCAGCATGGGTGAGAATCTCAGCTCTGCCACTGACTGGCTGTGTGGCCTCAGGCTAGTTATTTTACCTCTCTGGGCCTCAGGCTTCTCATCTATACACTGGGGCTGGTGATAGCACCTGCTAGTAGATTCTTAGCACATAGTAAGTAAACGATACATACATATTATTGTTCCGTTTTAAGAAATCTAATTTCGGCTTCGTCTTTCCTTGGCTTGTGAATGGTGACTATATAAAGAAGAAAATGGGTAGAAGGAAATGGTACACTTTTCAGAGCCGCAAGCAAAAGGGAAGAAACTTTTTCGGTAAAGAAGACATCGGAGTTGATGGGTGTGGCCTCCATTTGCAAATGGGAAAACAGAGGCTCAGAGAGGGTAAACTAGTTGCCTGAAATCACACAGCCAACAGTCAGCCGCAGGAGGATTTGAACTCAGCTCTGTCTGATGTCATAGCTCATGTCCTTATTCCCAATGCCCGTATGGCCAGTCCTGTTGGTCGTGAAAGATCCAGTGCCTGGCCTTGCATTGAAAGTGGAAATATGAGTCATCAGTCATCCCCAAGGATGGCTGGGGAGTGAGGGGGCCCTGGCTATGGTGCGGAATGTTCTGCCAGATGCTGAAGCAGCTGCCAGCACCACTCAGTCTCCTCCATGCTGAGGAAGGGAGGAGGAGAGCATGGTGGAGCAGGGGTCACGGCCCGCAGGGCGCAGCCTGGACCACGGCCAGGACTCGGGGCATGGTCGCGTAATGGCTCACGCCTCCGGCCTCTGGGATGCTGAGGCCCCAGACGACAGGCTCAAGTCTCTGCTTCTCCTTGCGGCAGATTCCTCTTCTGAAATAACCCAGGCGACTTCGTTGGGAAAAGTCTTGGGCTTTCCAGACTCTCCTGGAGCAAACCAGGTGGTGACACGTGGGATGGGTACGCTCCCCCCCACTGATGCAGACACAGGGCTGAAGAAGCGAGGCTCTGGGCTACCTTGGCCAGTGCTTCAGTTTCCCCGTCCGTGCATGGGAATCACATTTCTCCTTTGCAGGCTGGAGAAGGCTTGGGGGTTTGGTAGCAGACAGTATGCCGAGCACCTGGTGGGCATCCAGTCAACGCTCTTTACCCCCTGCCTGAATCAATGAATGATCAAATGAATCTGTTGAATAGTCCCACACAGCGCTAGTGTGTGGTCGGTGGTCCTCGCCTTGCTGACCGGTCTGGTTAGAGGCATTCAGTCAACGCTCTTTACCCACTGCCTGAATCAATGAATGATCAAACGAATCTGTTGAATAGTCCCACACAGCACTAGTGTGTGGTCGGTGGTCCTCACCTTGCTGACCGGTCTGGTTAGAGGCACTGCACCTCAACTTCCTTTTCTGGTTCCAGTTTCCACCTCGCTCCAAGGAGAACCAAGACCTGTCTGGCCTCCTCCATGAGCCAAAGTGCAGGAGAAGTGAGGAGGGGCTCAGCCTTTCACGCTGGTCCCCGCCCTTGATGGCCCCCCACCTGACTCATCTGCGATACTTGGGCTGCTTCTACCCAGGAAAGTTTGGGACTGGCCACTGTGACTTGGTGAGGTCAATGATTCATTTTGGTACTAAAGGGAACAAAAGCCCAGGTCTTCCCAAGGCCCCCTCTGCTCACAGAATGAGTCACCCTCCTCCTCGGCCCTCAGAAATCAAATAGCAGCTTCCACTTTTTCCTGCTCCTGGGGAGTTGGGGAAAGGTGAGTCTATAATGGGAAGACTGCAAAGAGGAATTAAGCCACCATTCATTCCATGGCGGCCACTGAAAGGGAACAGGTTTCTGGCCAAGGAGCATTTGAAGCCGCAGCCACGCCCCTCAACACCATCTCTCTCTCTCTGCCTGGCCACACCTCCAAATTCTCTCCTTCAAAGGGGAAAAACAACCCCCTCCCCTCCACAATCTGCTGGAGTTTTAAGAATTATCCTTGATGATACAATTTGCCGTGGGCACTAGTCACTGATTCCCACATGACCTTGATTTCCTGCCAAGTGGAGATTGTCATTGTCCTGGGCCACAAAGAAGGTGACGAACATGAAGCTTGAGTGAGGGCCCTGGTGGGGTAAGTCCCCTCCCCGAGTGTCAGTGAGGAGCCAGGCCGTGGACGGGTGGGACCTTCCACGGTTTGTGTCTCTGTTTCCACGTGAGGGCTCCGCTCGTCTGAAGCCAGACCTGCCGAAGGCCAGTCCTTCAGTTATCTGGAGCTCAGCCATGGGCCCAGAGTAACGGGACAGCAGTCCCAAGTGGTGAGGGAGAGTCACGAAGCCCAAGCACATTTCTCGGATGCCTCGGTTGAGACAATCGGAATAAAGGGAGGCAGAAGCAGGATATCCTCAGAGGCCACCATGTCAAACAGTATGATGTGGACTGAGTCACTTCCCTACTCTGGGCCACAGGTATGTTTATTTTATCAGTAAAATAGACATAATTCCCACCTCACGTGCTTAGTGACTTGGGTATGACCTAGTGATGACGAGCCTGGGTTTTGGGTCCCTATCCCAGCAGGATGAGGACAGCTCATCCTGTGGAACCTACTTGCTCACTCTCAGGGTGAGGATGGTCATGACCCCCTGCACATGGGGCTGCTGTCAGGATTAAACGAGATAATCGGTCAAGGGTTCACGGCTGGTGAATCATCACGCCTGATAACCGATCGCTGCTATCATGTCGGTCACTGAGCCGAGTGTCTGACGTCCAGCAAGTGTTCCAACAGTGCCGGCGATTGCGGGAATGATGATGCTGAAACAGAAAACGCAGAAATAGAAACACTGTGCGTTAGCCATCAGAGGGACAGAGGGTGGAGATCGCCCTCTTAATTTAGATCACCCCCTTATTTTCTCACAGGGGATGTGGAGGCCCACAGGGGAGAATGCCTGGCCTGAGGTCACTGCGAGCTCATTTCCCCTGTCCACTGCTCGTGGCTGACCCTGCTTCGCCCAGCAGACTGGGGCCATTTCGAGTGAGGGCACTCACGGGCCTCAGTTTCTCCCCAGGAATTGCTGCGTGACCGCCCAGGGCAGGAACGAAGGGGCTTCGAGCTGGCTGGAATCATCCAGAAATAATCGGAGGGGATTAACGGTGGCACCAGGGCAGGGCTGATGGCTACCAGAAAGTTCTGCCCCAATGAGTCGAGGCAATAGGCCTGCTTTCTAAAGCAATCCAGTTTCAGGGGATGCCACGTGTGTGCATGTGCGAGAGTGTGGCTCAGAGACAACCATTCTGGACAATAACGACAGCCACCTTTTGGAGAGCGAGGACGGCGGGTCAGGCCCTGTGCCAAGTGTGTGCATCTCACGAATCTTCATCGCACCCTGAGGGGTGAGTGCTCTGTTATCCCAGCAAATCGAGGCACAGAGAAGCTAAGGAATTGATTCAAGGCCCCCCAGTTAGTCCATGGTGGAGCCAAGACATGAACCTGGGCTGTGTGGCCCGGAGCCAGCCCTCCGTACAGCCCTGCTGCCCCGACGGGCTGTGCCTCGTGCCTGTGTCACCCTTCTCAGTGCTTCACACGGATTTCATGTCTGGGATCTCAACGTCAAGTCCTACACAGCCCTCTGAGGCGCAAAGGGTCCTAGCCTGGGCCCAGCACCCAGCAGGTGTCATTCACTCGGCAGATATTTCTGAGCCTTACCACACATCAAGGCTGACCTGAGGACAGGCAAGAGCGCAAGTAAGATCGGGCATGGGGCTGGCCACCACCGGGCATGTGGCCCGGACTGAACAGGAATCAACCTGTCCATGTCTGTGCCCTCCCGAGCACAGGAGGTGGGCGGAGTGGCTTCTGTGGGAATGCTCAGCCAGGCAAGGGACTTTGGTGGCTGGGGTCAGGAATCAGAGAGTCTGGTCTCTGCTCTGTGCCTGATGATCTGCAGTCACCTTGGCCAGCCTGTGCCTCGCCCCGGGACTCCACTTTCCCCACTGGAATGATGAGGGTGGGCAAGGTGGTTTATAAAAGGCCACTCAGCTGGCCAAAACGGTGTTGCCATGACCTACCTGAGCCCCCTGGCCTGGCTGGGGTCAGGCTTGGGCTCTGATCTGAGCGTCCAGGGTGTGGCCTGATCCCAGTCTGGCCCACGTGGGTCTCAGGCTGTGTCTCAGCCTTGTTCCACCCCATCTTATGCTGCCTCACAGGGTGACCAATGTCTCTGTGAGTCCCTCCCTCGAGCTGACAGCCTCCACCTCCATCCTGACTTAGAAAAGGTCTCCTTTGGTCTGTGTCCTCAGGCAGATCGATAGCATCAAACACATCTGAAGACACTGGGTCGTGCTTTTCAAAATCCCTTTGCAGACATTTTCTTATTTAAAATAAATAAAATTCAAAAATGTGAATTAATAATTCAAAACAACAATAAAGGTACCATTTACTGAGTTGCAGGTGAAGGTGCCTTTCTATATGTCTCTGATTCTCACAGTGACCCTTTTGTAGGATTATTGTAATCATGATTGCATTTTACGATGAGGAGACTGAGGTTCTGAGAGGTAGAGGCAATTATGTAAGGTCACAGAATAGGTAATGACAGAGCTGGCAAACTGGGGGTGTCTCATTATGAACCCAGGTTATTTCCTCTCCAACATCTGCACTGTTGGCTCTTCTTTCATCCAGAGCACCTACTCTGTGCCATGCACCCTACTAGGTGCTGGGGCACACAGTGAGCGGGCCAGTCCTGTTCTCTGCATGGGTCACAGTCTGTAAAAACCCCACGAGGTGGTATTATTGGTTAGGAAAGGCACGCCTCATAGTTATGACAGTGCCTGGCACAGAGAAGGGGCCCCGGACGCTGTCAAAGGCTGCCATTATTCCACCTGCAAATGTATTCTGCAAGGCTGTTGTCACTGTCAACCCCATCTGACAGCCAAAGAAACTGAGGCTCTGAGGAGCCAAGTGTCTAAGGCCGCAGTAATAGGTGGAGCTGAAATGGAGCCCTCAAGGGTCCCAGACTCATGTTCTCTTCCCCTGGAAACCCGTGGCACCTGCTCTCCTGGGACCCTTCCCCTCTGGCTCTGAGGCAGCTCCCCAGGAACCAGAGCCCCCACTTGGGGTACGAGGGAGGGCCAGGAGACGAGGGGTTAAGCACATCACTGGCACTGCAGCAGAAACTTCAGGAAGTGCAAGGCTAGGAGGACTTCTAAGAAAGAAGGAGGCTGGAAGGGACACACTTGTCCCAGCCTGAGGGCCAGAGGTGAACCTGGCTCCTGGCCGAGGTGCTGGCTCTCAAGATGGCCCCAGCCTCCAGCTGGGCTTCGCTTAGCCCACGTCTGTGGTCAAGAACAGCTGTGAGGCTGTGGTCCACCTCCATCCAGATCCTCCTCCAGGCTAGCCTCTTGGTAGATGCCTGAGGCCGAGGCCTGGGCTGAGGTGGCCAGGCCCAGGTGGGACGCCGTCTGTCCTCTTTATCATTCAGATCCTCTGAGAGCACATAGGGCCCGTGCTTCCGGCCAGGAGTCTTGAGTTCCAGCCTGGCTCTGCCCCCTTTTCCAGGAACTCCAGTCATGTGCCCAAATGGCTCTGAGCCCGTTCTTTTCATA